TTCTAACAAATAAATTTGATATGAAAGATCTTGGGGATGTCTCTTTTATATTAGGAATCCAGATACACCGGGATCGTTCTCAGGGTATTCTTGCATTATCACAAAAGAGTTTTAAAAGGTTTGGCATATAAGATTGTAAACCAAGTGACTCCCCTATGTCTAAATGAGACAAATTTACTCTAAATCAATACCCCGATAATGATTTAGAGACTACGGAGTCTTATGTATGTACAGGTTTGTATGCGTCTGGATATTACATATATTGTTGGATATTAGGTAAATATTTAGGCAATCTAGGAATAGATCATTGGAAAGCAGCCAAACGTGTCATGCGATATCTACAGAGAACAAAATGTTATATGCTCACATATAGGAGGTCAGATCAGTTGGAGATCATTAATTATTCTGATTTTGATTTTGCCGAATGTTAAAACAGTAGAAAATCTACATAAAACTATATTTACTTGCTTGCTAGGGGAGCTATTTCCTGAAAGAGTGTTAAACAAACACTTGTAACCTCTTCTACTATAGCAGCAGAATTTATACCTTATTATGAGGCATCCAATCATGGAATATGGCTATGAAATTGTCACTGGGCTACGTATTGTAGATGGCATAAAAAGACTATTAAAGATTTTTTGTGACAATAAGTCTGCAGTTATGTATTCTAACAACAATAGGAACTCGACGAAATTAAAGCATATAGATATCAAATTCCCTGTTGTTAAAAAAAAAAGTTCAGAGTAAACAAATATCGATAGAACACATTGGAACAAGCTCCATGATTGCGGATCCACTCGCTAAGAGATTACCACCTAAGGCCTTTCATGAACACACTGCTCATATGAGCGTTGTATCCCTAGATGATGTATAATTTCATTGGAAATCTTGTACCGTAGTTGCATTTATTTTGTAAAACATATCATAAACTTTGTATTTGGTTTGGTTTATATATAAATATGGTTTCATTCCAATTTTTTTTTTTTTGTTTATGTTTATATATATTATTATCTCTAAGTTTTCTTACAGTTGATCTCACTAAAGTTAAGGCAGAACCAGTTAGAAATATGCATACTTAGATTATATAGCATGTTATTTCCATATTGTACATCCATGTTTGATTCATGTTATTCGGTTATATTAATATACGTGACCATTGATGAGTTTAGCTACGTTAACTATAGCAAAAACTGCTTTGATCCTATGTCTTTATGATCGATGGACGGAAATGTTTGATGATGCATTCAGGTATTGATAACACAGTTCTGAGTACGCCTACAGTTATTTAACCCAGAGTTAAGGAATCACATAAAAAAGCCCAAATGGAAGATTGTTGGATTTTTTCTGACATGTAGACTTAATGTGGATCTTGATATGCGTATCAAGCTATCAATTTAATGAGCTCGTTTAAAAATAATCAAATATAGTTAAACAATATTAGGACTTAATACATCGGGTTTAAGTATAGGCTTGTAATGTGCAGATACTATTTTTGTAATATTCTCATTTTATGATGAGCGAAATGGGAATTGCAAAAGTTTGTCGATATAAAAGGGGATTATAGTCCCCGAATCACAAAATTATCACTTTATTTTTCTGAAATTCCGTCACTAAAAAAAACTAATTTCAAGACTCCATGTTGATTCAGAAGATTCTACCGGCAGATGCAAACAATTCTTCCGCAATGGATCTCAGTATGCTTCCGCTTACATTTCTCATTAATTCAATACGATATTATATGTTTAGTTTTTATAGATTTACGGATGTGAAAAGAATTTTTATTCCAATAAGAGGAAATGGCTAGTTAAATAAGCTTCATTTCTCATCTATCCAAAAACTAGAATTTGAAATAAGAAAAAGTAAAATGTTTTCTTTGTCCCCTCCCCCCCAATCTACCTTCATCCGAAAAGTATCTTGAACAATCCTAGGTGTGACTCCTAGTTATTTTTTTGTTATCTATCCTAATCTTCATATGCTTTATCTAAGAATCCCTAAATTTGTCCGATATGTCTAAGTAGGAAAATTAACTCAGTATGTCCTAAATCAGACTGACTTTAGAAACATCCCTCCTAATAGATGGCCAATAAATTCTAACCTGGACCAGCGGGATGGTTATATCTCTACCAAGATAACCTGCAAGCATAGCCATATGCATCTGCCAAGCAAGACAATACCTAAGGAAAATACATGGAATCCATAAGATAGTGGCTTAGATACCAAATTGAGGTAGCACAACAAAATAGGGTTTGGGCATAGAGAAAGAAAAAAAAATGCAATCACCACAATTAGAAACTCAGAGCAATCACACAATCTCAAGGTTGTTGCAATAATATGTCACTCTATTTTATTAGTGAGCAGTCTAAAAAATAATATTTGTTGAATCACCATACACTAATATGATACCTCCAAACCTAATAGCACTAGAATAAGAAAACATTAAAGACTACTATATGTACAAAGGAAGATAATATAATAACCTTTTACTAGTAAGACTCTTATAACAATAACATGATAGGAAGTCATTCCTAACCCTATGAGAAAACGCCTCTCCATAGAAGTTAGATGGTCCCACATCATTTTCCAGAAGCATAGAAACCAGGATAGCTGCCCATAACAAATGGTCCTGATACCAAAATGTTAGGTTCCTAGATTGAGATCCTTTGATTAGTTTTTTGTGGAAGAGTTTGAGAGCTTATGAAGAAAAAACCTTTTATTAATCGAATGATAAGATTGTCCAGAAGCATAAAAACCAGGATAGCTGCCCATAACAATTGGTCCTGATACCGATATGTTAGCTTTCCTATATTGCCATCTTGAAATTTTTTTTGGCGGCAAGAAGAGGATAAGAGATTATGAAGAGAAAACTTTTAATTTTCAAATAATAGAAACTCGTTGAGGGAGAAAACCCCTGATCTCTGAATCATAAGGCTTTATGAGAGAATAACACAAGATCCGAACAAGAAACAAATTCACATTTTGTAGAAATGTTATGGGCACAAAGGCATTACTAAAATTATTTAGTTATAAATATCTTCTTCAAGACAAGTTAATAACACCCAAAGTATCTTCCATAGCTGAAGAAACCAATTACTACACCTAATAATAAAAAAACTAAAATAAATAAGGATAAAACTGTCTGCCAAAGATTAGACAAAACCAATAAACTTTCTGCAAGAGATTCTACTTCTACAGACAAAGTAGCATCCTCACTGATTTGACCGTGTTGGGCCATGACATAAACCTCATAGTCATGTGTGCAAGGATTAGTAGGAGAGAAGAAACAAGACACCAGAAGCCATTTGAGTTCACCAGACTGATTATTTGGCTTTCTCAATCATTTATTAGGCACCTAAATTGTCTGCTGTTAACTCCAATACTATTAGAGAAGTCACAAACAAGTAGGCTCCATCTATTTAATAAAAATATCTTTTGGTTTTTATTTTCTGAATTCATATATTTTATGCATAAGAATATGTACAACAAATGTTTTATTGAAAAAAAAAACAGCTTTCTAGAAAAATATTGAAAACAAATTTCAAATAATTGTCAAACTCACACCACATTTCATTCCTTAAAGAAAAAAAAAAGATTTATGCTGCATTTTTACTCTTATTATCTCAACATTATCTTCATTTCCAAATGCAGACATGTTTTTATGTATAAATGTATGTGAATTTAGAATATAAGGATTAAAATATTATCATATACTTAATGCTGCTAGATACCTAACAAGACCTTTAGAACTTAAAAACTTGTTGCAATAACTTTTGATATTTTTTAAACATTTATAACAACTAACGAAGTACCCAGTGAGCAAGAGTTGAGAAAGGATATCCGAGACTTGGGACTTATTTCTAGTTTATATCACTGACATTATCATATAACAATAGGGTATAAATATTCTCCTTTCCAATGAGAAAGCTTCTAAGATTGCAAAAAGGCTACAATTTAGAAGTCATAGAGAATGGTAGCCAGAAAGTGGAATAACAGAAGGTAATACCTAGTTGTTGGACGAGAGAAAGGTTCAGGATGAAGAAGCCAGAGACAAAATCCAGCTTCCCTTGGATTTTCTGAAAGAAAACTTGGCGGAAGAATTCGATGCCGCAAATCTGACATAATTGCAGGATACGTCTCCCTTGGCTCAAAACAACATAGGAACTGAATAAAACAACCCATGTTAGCTGTAAGGATAATTTTATACTCAGTTGAAGCTCAAACATGCAAGAAGAGCAACAAAAGTTGCCATACAAAGTAACTGTAGCTAAAAATTTGCGATTGAACTGAAGTGTATATATTTCGTGAAAAACATATATAGATATAGAGCCAAAGTAGAAAATAAATATTGAGATAACTTTGTAGCAAATGTGCAACCTTGAGACTGCGATGGTAGAAGATGTGCAGCTTTAAATTAAAATTTGATTGAAAAAATCAGTGAACTAATCTCCTAACCTCAAAAAGGAGAACCCCAAGTCCATAGGCATTTGATGGAAAGGTGCAGCCTCTCTCAGCTAGCTCCTCTGGACAAGCATACCACTTTTCTTCCAAATGACTAGTTTCAGAAATGGACTGTTGTCTGGTTGTAGAAGATGTACTAGGGTAGTTGTAGTTGACTTGATCATGGTGCTCACCATAATCAGAATCTTGCATATCAGCATTAAAATAAACAATCCCATCATTTGTCCTGTTTTTTGATCTGCAATTCAAGTTTGTAGGCTGGTAACTTGTAGATTTTGTCTCCTTACTGATTTTTTGCTGCTTTGCACTCCTGAGATTAGCACATGTATCTTTTTCCAGTGGTCGTTTCCTATTCAAATCCTGATCAACAGAAGAGTCTGGGTCTTTGATAGAAGAACCAGTGTAAATAATCTTATTAGATGACAACAAATTGAAATAGCATGGTCGTAATTCTTGCAAGACAAGACCTTGAGAGTGTGCAGAATCAACCAACTCCACAATCTGCCTGAACAAAAGCAGGCTTTTAGATTTATCTTTTCTATGAGCCCCAGGTTTCAGCCACTCCCTCAAGCTGATCCCATCATGAAAAGACCTATCAGCAGACACATTAATCCTATGCAAAGAAATCTTGTCACTTTTGGCACTTGAGTTCAGCAACCCATCAGAAACAATCTTAGCCATGCAATTCATTCGATCATCATTTTGCCCGACAATGCCTTTATCAAGTTCACATGGAGTTTCAGGGTCTATGCTTACTACCCCTTTTCCCTTTGAAGTTCTCTTTGCACATAATATGGAAAAATTAGAAGCAGATAAGGTTTTCAAATGGACAGCCGCAGTAGGCAATCCATCACCTGAAATATTCTTCTTGCTTGTAGCCCTTAGATATGCTGAAATTCCTTCTAGATTCCGATCATTTTGCTTGCTTGTGAAAGTATTCAAACTCTGCTTATCAAGAGGAACTCTTGCAAGCTGCTCTCTGACTCTCACCAATATCTTATCCATTTTCTGCGGCAGAGAATCTCCATCATAAACCTTACATCTAGAGGCACCCGCTAAATGATATATGTGTTTCAACTGGCTGTGTCTAGGACCAATCGTGGTGTTTAGTAAAGCCAAATTGGAGGTATGATCAACTCCTAGATCGGCAACTGCTGTCCCAGTTTCAATGTTCTCCACAGAATAAGGGCTAGTATGAGGTGGTTCAGATCCCCCAAAAGAAGTTACGCATCTGCTTAAATCCAAATCCTCAGTAATATCTGCACACTTGTGAGGCGAGTTCTGAGGCCAATGACTTGTCAAGGATTCACACATTACCGGAGATTCCATCATGACATGGCCTTCGGCTTTCAAAGGAAGATTACATTGTTTTTGAATAAGTTCCATGTTCCTAGTCATGTCGTTTGTAGCCACTTTATCCTCAAATCCTTCCATATCATCAACAAACCTCGTTTAATTACAAAACATTTGTTGATGCATCGCCTTCCCAAAAACGAAATTACAAGAATTTACTTACAATGAACAAAAAGAATAATCCGAAGCCAATAGATGGCTGTCTTCCAAACTCATTAAACTCATCTTCTACCTGCATGCATGCGTAACAAAGCAACATTAACACAGTTCATACAAAATTCTATGAGCGATTGTGATCGACAAGGTAAAATTCACAAGCTCCGGCCAACAGTGATTGTAATGTGTAAAAAAATTCCCCATCCAAATTATGAGGAAAAGGAAAGTTAATCAAAAAGAATTGAATTTAGGCACAGCAGAAACACCAACTGGACAAAAAATTTAACATAAGCAAGATGTCTGCAACTCTCATAATTCGTCTCAAATACTAGCATCTTTCTGCACTCGCAGCATAATTAAAAAAAGAAAAGAAACATGAAATAACCTGCATAGCTGACATAATCATACATGCATTTACAAAACAAAGACAGTCAAAATTACATCCATTTCACTTCGTGCGAAAAGTTCAAAGCAGAATGATCAAAACAACAAATTCTAATAATCACATTCTTTCAATCTACTGATAAAAGAAGGAAGACGCAGAGAGAAAGAGAAAACGATGGTGATAGAGAAAAAACAATAAAATAATCCACTCAACAAAGTGAACCGGGAAACCTTGCGAACAAGATAAAATGTAGAACGTGAAGGTCCCAAACTTGCCAGAAAAGGAAAAAAAAAATATCTCCTCGGAAACACAGCTCCCAAGCAGCACTACAATATTGAAGATTAAAAATTGAAAGAAAGAGAAAAAGATGGTGTTTATCTCGATGGTTGAGATATTTTTTTAAAGATTCTTTATCATTCAAAGACTTGAGGAACCACTAGTTTATTTCTCTGGCCAGTATATTTTTCAAAAATTTTAAATACTTCAATAATTTTAAAACAGAATTACAGAAACCTATTAGGTGTCTTGTCTACGGCTCTGGCGGTCTGGAGAATTCGCTCAGTCAGTGCGTACTGCTGCTGCAGATCTGATCAGGAGAGAAGATTTTTATTTTAATTCAAATATCAATATATGTAATTATTTCCAGGGAATCAGATAACGACCACCACAGAATTTTTTCATTAGGGGTGATATTTTGAACAATTACAGTAGAATCTTTAAAAGATTCTAAACTAAGGGTAGTATTTTGGGGTTTTAATTACCGAATTTGCCATTAAGTGTGAAACTGTGTGCGGCGGAGGCTGCGAATGCATGATGGCAGGGTTGTAATTTGGAGAGGTATTGGTGGCATTTTGAAGAAGTAGATGACGAGGATGAAAAGATTCCACGTAGTTTAGATAGAAACTGTGGAGGGAGTTGAGACACGAAGTTTTTGTTGGCGGCTTTGCACGTTTACCCATTTGAAAATGCCAACTTGATTATTATTATTTTAGTAGGTCAGGACCTAACCAGCCCATATAATGATACATGACTTTCTCTCTACATACCCCCGGGGGAAATTCTTGGGCCCGGGCCCAAATATTGTCAGACCGATAGAGAGAGAAATTCACCAGTTACCATAATAAAGGAAATTAAACAAAAATAAGACAATCAAGCAATTGAAGTCAACGGCGAAACTCAATTTGTGCAAATACTTATTTTAGTCGGCGGTTGTCTTCCACTTAAAACTTCTTGCCACCTGATTCACCACGGGACGTATCAGTGATTCCACAACATTTCTTTTTTCCTCCTCTTTCCCAGAAAGCCACAAATCTACAACTTGTCAACTACGAAAATTTCGTTTGAATTGTCAAAAGGTATATCCGTCGGTAAATTAATCAACCTGTCTTGTTCTTTTTCCCTTTAATGAACCAGGCTTTCATGTAACCGCTTTTATTTATTTCATCCTATAAATATTTTAAAGAGTAAAAAAGATTACGAAAAGGCATAAATATCTTTAATCCCGTTACAGGCTTGCCAGTGTTCGCATGGATGGCGGACGCTGCTGCGGGAACAGAAACAGAAATGGGGCAAGGAGTTGAAGAGAAAAGAATAGATGATGGAGAAGATGAAAAGGATCAAGACTTGAGTCCTCTTTTGAACCCAGAAGCATCTTTTCTGCGTGAACTGAACCTGGTGGTTACTCTTTTCTCCTTATTCTCTTTGCCCACCGACCACTCGTTGAATCTGAGGCAAGATGAAGGTAGGTCCACAAAAGATCATGAAGCTAACACCAACATTTCCAGATTTCACACCAAAAGGCGAGGAAGTAATGAAATAAAGCTAATGGAGCGACGAACACCGAGGTTTCAAACTACGACACAGGAATTCAGGTGCTACATTTGACTCCCTTTGTTGCTTACCTAAACACATTCCATACTTCTTTCCATAGAAGAGTGCCGGTTGCTCCAACGATGAGATTTTCAAATATCAAAATTTATTTATTTTTAAATCTCCTCCTAAAACCTTATTAATTCAAAAGTTGAAACTCGTATTAAAGAACAACAAAAAAAAGGAATTTCTTCATCTTTACAATTTTAACATCCATTCTTTGCGTCAGGCATTCCAGAAGAATGTGATGACAAAGACATGATTCTGCGAGATTTTGGAAAGAAGGAAGATTCTCCACAGAAGAGAAGGAAAAGCTGATATTTCCCCTGTTCGTGTTTATCATTTCGTCCGAGAATATCTTTACAGTCTAAAGCAAGCAACAACTTTTCTCTTTAACTAAAAGTATTTACTACACGAGAGTTCATAAATTTTGTTCTACTGAGTTCTTGGCAGTTTCTAAATGTTAAAAGGATGTTACAGGCCTGTAGAAACCCAAAGCTTAGCACATACCAAAGATAATATTATCTTGAATAATTTTATTGTATCATAATCATGTTATTACTCTCATTCTTCCCAGCAGCAAAATAGTTAAATATATCAGTATTTCCGTCATTCCTCTCTCTTCTTGTAACAGCAAAAAGAAAAAGCAGAAAAATGGAAGCAAATCAGGAAAACTCATGAAATATGAGTACACGAGAATTTATTTGGAAATCTTTCCATTATTCTAATGACGGTTCTGTTGGTGAGAATGAACCCTTCCTCCATGCAAAAATAAAACCAGCTTGATATGTGGAACCAACAACCATCGCATGGACAGAGCCGGGCAGACTCAATGATCTGTAAGCAGCAATGATAATGAAGGATAAAACCTCATAATCTCACGAAACACAGCCATTTGACCCCAAAAGTGAGAAATCAAGTATACAACAGTTTTCATCAACATAAAGTTTGCGGATGGGCACTTTAAACACTAATCAAGCACATCAGTTACTTCAAAAAATGCACCTAACCACACTGTTATGTACATATATCACTCAGAGAAGACATACAGAGACCAGTGTTCGGTGGGCACCTCTAAAGCATTCATTCAGTAGCTGATGTCCAGCCATCAATTTTCATCCACTAAAAACTAAATTAGACAGACTGTTTCTCACAGTACATATGCAATTACCCAAGCAGGATAGGCAATGCTTAATTTGTTCCTAAGATATGGTACCACAGAACTAATAAATAGTTCCTTCCGGTGCCCTTACAACCAAATGTTTGAGAGGCACCACCTACTGAATTGCACAAGTTCAATGTACCTTTTTCTTGTCTGCTCCCTGAGAATTCTAGTTAATTTTAGCATGTGGTTTAGAAATGCTACCAATCCAACCCAACAAACAGTAATTTATAACAACCTATCTGCACACACATGCCAAATGGCAAAGACAGACATGCAAAGAAAGGAAGTGAGGGCAAATGAAATGCCACCGCATAACAACAATGCAAAAATGAATTTATTTTCTCAATTCTTATAGAGAGGTAGCTAATGTTATCCCCATTGCTCTCTCAAACTTACTTATTGACACAGCACATAAATGAAAGGCCAAACACTACAGTGTGTTCACAAAGAAACAAAAATCAAGGGAGAGCAACATATAAACAAGCCCCACGTAAATTTCTAAACTCATTCTCAGAGAGAAAAAGGAAGAATTACCCCTAGGTTATCTTCTCTCTAATCCCCTTGCCTACAAAAATAGCACACTTGTTGAAGAAACCATATGGAGGTCTTGAAAGTCAGTCTGATATTCTAATCTCAACTCCTAAAATGTCCTTGACCACTTCATACGTCACAAATGCAATAGCAATGGATGGAACTACCTGAAAAAGATACCAACAAATGTTAGACAAGGCCTTTTGAGGCTGAATCTTACTCAGTAAAACAGAAAAAGAGAAAAAAGAACATACATACTGACTTCCATTAGATTAATCAAATATTTTCTTTTTAATTAAAAAAAAGGAAATATTATTAGAAAGAGAAGAATCTATATTAAATATTGACATCTAAACCAGTTACTTATTTTCTTAGAATGATTTGCTACCACCATGAAACAAAAAAAATGTGGTCAATGTGTAAGAAAAAAAAAAAAGAAAAAAGCCAATAACAAGAAAAAAGGACAACTTTTTGGAACTTTAAGACATTAATTGCCTTCAGGAATCCAATTCTATCAGCAAAATATCGGGAAGTGCAAGGTCAACAATCTGAGGCATTCAGAATTATAAAGGATTTTGGACAGGTTAACCAATTCGAACATGGATGGCACCAACATTTATTTTATCCAAACCTAAGCTATGAGGACATGGAAAAGCAATTAGGTTGAAACATACTCTCTGTCCAAAATGAATATATTTAGAATATCAGGGTTCCCATCCAAGTAGACAATTGCTCAAGGTTTAACCATAGATTTATCAGGAACTAAAAGGACAAGGAAGGACGAGATGGACCTTCACAGAATTGGGGACCAAACCCTTGTATAATGCTCCAAAGCCCTCATAACGAACGGTTTTCCTAAATGCATCAATCATTCCAGTATATTCAAGGGATGCCTTGCTTCTTCCATCACCAGTAACAATTGAGGAAGCATCTTTCCATCCAACCATCTGCATTCTTCGGCGAATGACATCAAGTGGGTAAGCCACAGTTTGCCCAACAGTTCCAGCAGCAGCCCCACATGCAAGCCTTGTTGTCACACTCAACTCAGAATCTTGAACTAGCCCAAATGGTTTAGATTTAATTAACCAATCCTTTAGTGATTCATACACAGCAAAGTTCAGACCCACATAAGGAATCTGCAAACATGACGTTAAGATAAGGTCTCCGACAAAATAAGTTAAACTATTTCAGCCCAAGAGGTGAAGGAGACTTACAACTCCAATAACAGATGGAAGCCAGCCCTTGTACAATGCTCGGGGACCTTCTTCTCGGAGTACAGTTGACAAGGCATGGAACATTCCTCTGTATTGATAGAGAGACTTCTCTGTCTGTAAATATAAGACAAATGGAAAGGATGAAATCGCCATATTTTAAGATAAAACATTGTTTCCAGAGAATAAAAAAAAAAGCACCCGAGCGTAAAGATTCTTTATTCACTTGGCTAAAAGATAAAGAACACATATTTTTCTAGCAGCTTTCTGAAAAAAGTAAGTTCTTCAACATACTTTAATTTAAAAGAAAAATGAAAATCTCAGATTTTTGTTTCTTGTTTTTTTTAGTTTGAAAGATCATTTCTTACCAGCACGATAGGCATGTCAGAGAAAATACCTGCACTGTTAACCTGCCGCGTACCATATCCATGGGATATGTTGCAGACATGGCAATTATTCCAGCACATGCCCCAGCCCCAAGGCGTAAGACAGGAGTGAGTTGAGCATCTTCTGCAGAAAAACAAAAAATAAACAAAGACTTAGGTCGGTTATTAGCCAATGGTTATCAAGTCCATTCATGTCTAAATTATCAAGCAACAAATAAAGATATTCTACAGCTATGTCAAAGGCCTTTCATGAAGAAAAAATCCTTTGAGCAGAAACCCCCTTAGCTCTTATTAATGGGCAAAAAGCTAGCAGAGTTAACCATCAATCCAAAGTGGATGCTTAAAGGACCCATGATATTTAAGGGGACCATCAAATCAATTTCCTTTCTATGGATTAAACCAAAAAGAGAAAACAAGATAAAGAAAATTGAAAAGAATACCGATTATAAAGTAAGGGATGACCACAACCCAGTTAAACTACTTGTAGAGGGGGCCTAGTAGAACTACTATTTTTTTAAAGAACAAACTAGTTGAACTAAACCAAGGACTCAGACGAAAATGCACTAAAACATTGTTTTTAAGAGTACATGTCAACCTAATACAAGGCATTATTAGATTGTCAATTCCATAAAAACACCAGCCACTTGAGGCCCACACTACAATAGAGGTCTAAACCTCTTGGCAATTAGGCAAGGAAGGCAGGAGCTAACACTCTTTGTTTATATGGTATACGCACCATGACATGATAAGGATGGTCACAATCCAACTGCAAAGGCTCTCAATCTGTAAAGAATATCTTATGCAGAATGGAATAGGTTCAGTTTGTCTAAATAGATAAGAAAATGTGATACTTTTAAATATAAAACTATTGTACTATGTAGGAGTCTATTACTATAATTCAAGTAATTTAGGATTTTATTCTTTTTAGTATTTACGTTTAGTAGTTTTTATTTCAATTCTCTTTGTAACCACAGTTTTCGAAATGATTCAATTATTCAATAAAAGCTCTTCGAAAATTTCCCTCATTTATGGTTGTGTGATGCCATCAAATCCTTGAAAGTACTAAGATACCCTAGGTAATGATGTTTAGGTTTTACTCCCAAATCTCTAAGTACGTAACTGACCATAATTTGTCCAACATCAGTAACGGTTGGCGTTGCATGTTCTGATCCAACCACAATACTTTATTAATGCATGAAACGAAAAAATTGATGTTAAGATAAAAAAGAAACATACCATTCCCAGTCTGCTGTTGATAAAGATAAAGTATTCCCCTGTCATGTAAAGATGCAGAGCCAATCAAATTTGTGAAGCCGCATAAGAAAAAAAAGCAGGAACTACTGAAAAATGAGGAAAAACTTAATTTCAAGTAAGTGAAATCCAAGCCAACAAATAAATAGAACCAGAATCAACACAACAATCAAAAAGACGAAAGAAAAACGACTGTCCACCTTATGCATACAAATTTGTGAAGCCAGATAAATAGAATTATGCATATTCACCATTCAATCATGCACCACCTATTCTTACTCTGATACAGGACTCAGTTAAAAGCATTCTGCCAGATTCATGAGATGAATACAAATTTGGCATTTGGCACTATGAATAGGGTACCAGAAAATTGCATATTGACCATTCAATCATGCACCACCTATTCTTACTCTGATTCAGGACTCAGTTAAAAGCATTCTGCCAGATTCATGAGATGAATACAAATTTGGCATTTGGCATTATGAATAGGGCACCAGAAAATTAGATTGCTTGGAAGAAGGATGCATAGCATATGCAAAATCATAATTAAAAAAAAAAAAAAAAAAGTATAATCACAGAAGAGTTCCACAATAGAAGAAAAAAAATACACAATCAATCAAAAGGGAAAAGAAAACAAACAAACCCTGCATTTCCAATTCAGCCAAATTGGTTATATTTCAAGGACTACAACTTAGGTATTAACGATAAATTTGATTTGACTCATACTTAGAAGCTTGCTCATAGCTGAAGAATTTGACAGCAGAGTTCGGAACAATACGAGCACAATTAGTGCCATTGCCTTTGAACAATCCACGAAATCCCTCAGTTCTCCAAATATATTTCAAGCCTTGGATTGTTCCATTATACTTTATATTATGAGGATTTTGAACCTGCATTGGAAAATACTATCTGGTATGAGAAAAGAAATGATATCAGGTTCAGAGAAGAAAAAGAAAACTAAAGAACCAACCTGCAGCAATATCTTCAACCTTTCCAACGGAGCAACAGCAGTTCTTGACCTGGTCAAACATGCAACTAGAGTGAACACTCCAACTCTCAATGTCACAAAAAATAATAATAATAAACCTGGTACAAAAAGTTGCCTTTCAAAAATATATAATTGGAAGCACCCTAGTGACTATTATTTTATACATAGCACAAAAACATTTTGTCGAAGTTCAAGTGAAAAATCAACTTCTTCCTCCTTTTCCTTTTCCTTCTTCCCTGGCTTGGAGAGGGCCTTTACGGTCAGTTTAGTTCAAGGTGGTGAAATTAATTGTTTTCCAGAGGAAATTAGTTTCCAGAAAACATGGAAACAGTTAAAAAGATGTGAAAAGGGATTTAGATAAAATTTGCATCAAACAAGTCAATATAGCTGAAAGTAACCTGTTTTACTGCCAAGATCAGAAAAGCTCAGTATCATAAAAGAAAAAGAACCTAACAGTTTGTATTTATATTTTAGTACGCAAAATTAACCAGGATATAAGGCAAAGAAGTAAGAAATATATATTTAATAATCAATCAGAAATTACAGATAAAATGTTGAATCACTGTGTTTATTATTTGGTAAGTAACACCAAAGAAGAATTAGACAAGTGGATTATTCCCTTATGGAGCTCCAAACATGTGAGAACCGGTCAAGATCTAAAATTTTCATTCCACAGGCTTGCTATCATTTCAGCTGCCAAAATATTTCTTTTAACCACTCAAAAAGGTTTTCTCATTTAACTCCTCCACCAACCAGACGCTTACTATACATGTTCCGTATTTGTTCCAGTTACAGGGAACAAGGAAATCTTAAGCTTTTTTTAAGAAATGAGACAATCCCAGTCGTTCTGTTTACACTTTGTTCCTAATTCTCTCCCGAACGGAGGAAGAAGATTCGATTTCGGACATATTAGTTACATCTCAAAAAGAGGAACGTCTGTTCTTGAAAGGTTCACCAAAAAGTTAACTCGTAACAGAAACATTACGAAATTATGCTATTATCTTCGCGTTTTTCAACTAGTAAAACAATAACTTGAGAATTACATCCGCTCACTTTTTCCATGCAAACAAATAACCGAAGACACAGAAAATATAATTTGCGTGAAACAGATAACAAAAAGAGAAGGCCAAAAAAATGAATAACTCACACTCCACCGGCGACTCCACCAGCCACGAGTGATTTGCAGATACTGAGAATCGCATAGCTTGGAGCCTTTACGCCCTCCCTCGCCAGCTTCGCCTCCTCGGCCAGATTCACGATCGTCGAGACTGCCGATTCACTCGTCTTAACATCCTCTGATGCCATTAATAGGAACAATAACTGAGAGAAAACGGAAAAAAAGAACCAAAAGTATCAGACGACAGCTAGACGGAACCCTAGGTCAACGGGGCTGGAGATCTCTGTATCCGATTTCCGGCGATCAATGGAATCGGAAGTCCGTCTCGTTTATCGGTCAGAGAAATGCTGCATTTCTCTCTCCTTTGGTTCTTGTGGCGTTGAGGTGTGGTGGAGACGGCTTTTGGAACTGAAAGTGAGGGCTCAACCAACAACGACAAGGCAATAAGCTGAGCGCTGAGCGTGACGGCGTTTGATCATTAAGCGTCTTGCACATATATATCGGAATCCTTTTTCATTTCTTTCTACTTTTTTAACTTTTTATTTGTGTACTCGCCCTTGCGGGTATAAATCTCAAAACTCGCTACCCATGGTGGCTACGTGGATGGACAAGATGCGCTTAAGGTTTGGAGCCCATTTGGTGAATTTGGACAAGCATTACAAGGCCGTGTTTGGGTTCGCGATTTTAGAATCTCGGAAAGCTATCGTAACGTGGAAAGTTTTTCGTATTTTCATCAATTAAAAAAAGATTATATTGCTACTCTCCAAAAAATATTTTTCTTTGATCGTTATTGAATGTCAAAATTACGAGGCGTCAGTCTATATATATATATATATATCATTTAATTATAGCCAAAAAAAATTCCAAGACAAGACAAGACGATTACCACGGAACCAAACACGTCCTAGTTAGTGTTCGAAGAGACAGTTTAGATACTGCAAATTTACAAAAAAGCCCTGGAAATGAAAATGCGGCAGATAAGTTATCATCGTCCAACAAATATGGAGAAGGTTTGGTAGGGTTTATAGTTTAAGATAAAAATAATTTTGTTAATTGAGAGGTAATCTTTTGTTGCCCTGGCGGAGGAGAACGGAAACCTAGCGAATCTCCTTGACGGCGTTAGTGGGAGTAACACGTCATTCCCTATTATATTAATTGCTGGAATTACGTGGGACATTGTCAACCTAATTTAATGGATTTAATTGAGTTTTGCGTCGTATGAATTGCCTCTTTTTGGTTAAATCGTCCAACAAATTGCATCAAATTTCTTTCAGCCTACACGACAATGATAACTACATTATAAATTATATTACATTTATTATTATTATTAGATATAATTAAAAAATTATAATCTTATTATAATATATGTACTGCTTCATTGTAATTAATTACTGTTTAATCTTAAAATGGCGTGTATAGAACCAATTTAATTTTAATTTTTTTTTTAATATTTTGTTAGTAAATTCTAGAACTAACACCTTGTTGTCTTTCAAATTTTTATCTTAAAATTATTAATTTACCAACATTTGATTAGAAAAAATTCAAGGATAATTGGGTCTATTAAAATATTATAATAAAAAAATTAAATAAATTTTAAATTCCGTCATGATTCCATAAAAAAATTTTATGTGATCACCTTATCAAGCAACTTAACATGGATCTACATCAGCAATTCTGTCAAAGAATTTCCAGATTTGTTGCAAAAGTTTTAGCAAATTCTGAATCATATTTGTAGTTCTAGATCTTCCTTCGAAAAAAAAAAAAAGAATCTCGTACAACATTCAATTATTAAAGAATTAAAAAATCTTCAATCAACTACTTTTCTCTAAAAATTAGTTTTGTTCAAAATCAAACTGGGTATAATCCTCAAATTTTGAATCATTTTGAAAATTAAATAGAATGAATATTATTCTGTTTTTTTTAAAAAAAAATCAAAGTATATACCCTCATTTTTCATTAAATTTTAAATTAATTATTTTGTGCATATTTATTTTTAACCACAAAATTTGTTCATTATACACACACTTTAACTGGAGTGATAAAATTGATTTTTACATTAGTCTAGAGTGAAAACATAATTTAATTTATATTTTTTATTACACTAACTGTTACAATTATATGTGGATGGGGTCCTCTCAATTGTACTTACTGTCACTTTGGCATGAAGCATTTTTAGCTCAGTGAAACTCAGACTATTGCAAATATTAGTCTAATTGGGTTTACATATATATATATAACAACTTGACTTTATTACAGGTGGATCACTAAGTACATAATAGACATAGCATCATTTTACTTTAAATGATTACGGGGCGTATATACTTTTTTAAAGACATTTTGATTCTGTGTAAAATATGTTCCAATTCCTTCTTAACTCATCAATAATGAACATTGTTGTGTTGTCAAAATCTTAGAGGTTTGATTTATAAAACAGTTGTAAAATTCGAGATATACTGAGTTCTTTTTTAAAAAAAAAAAAAAATTGTTAAATATTTTGAAGGTTTAGCCAATAACACTAATACTAAAAAATTGGGAGCATCTTAAAGGAGATTTTTACATTTTTATTATTAATTAATTGTTAAAACGAATACTTTCTAAAATATATTACTTTTACAGAAAATATATGATGAGTTTCAAAAAATCATTAAAGAAAATTATACAGTTATAATATATTTTAACAGTTCAACACACCTTAGAATAGATCAATTTATATCTCAAAGTTTTATAGATAATAGTGTCACAATATAGTGAATTCACTTTTATACTAATTTTTCACATGATGATTGATAAGAAAACATATAAAGCCATCAACTAGCATAAATATCTTTATTATGTTCTCAAAATTTACTAAATAATTAGAATTTGATTCTTATACTTCTGTTGTTGCAGTGATTAAGTTAGTTATTTTTGAATGGTAAAGTTTTATTTTGTAATTAATATGTGATTTTATTTGGAGGTTTATATAACAATACGGAACTTGAAAAGAAATAAAATCATAAATTGAATGCGGAAGCGGAATAATAGAGTTAGTATTTACATTCCTTACACAATAATTTAGAATACCCAATAGGATTACGGGAATGACTCTTTTTAAAAGAACAAGCGAAAAATCAAGAAATAAATGAAAAGTAAAAAATTAGGTATCCTATGACGACAATTCACGAATCTTTAAAAGGAGTCCGGGTGGTAAACTATTCACAACTCCCTTATTGATCGATATCTGGATCTTGGTCCTCTTAATCTGAAATAGTTAATACAAGTATGAGCTACACTACCCGATTAAGAATATCATAGTACTCACCGATATAGAAATGAATGTTGGTAAAAATAATAAAAACAACTAATGTAACTCTTAAATTAAATAAATTCATTTATCATAAATAAAATCATTTATTGCGTATTTATCGTAACGAGATTTTCAAAATCGATCGATAGAGGCAATAACACAAACAACATCATAATCTCATATTCAATTAATCAAAATAACAACTTTCTTTTTTTATTTGCTTACTGGTATCCCTGAGGGTCTATAGGGATGTCTCATCAAGCGTAAACCCATAACAAAACTTGTTAATTAACCAGCTGTCCTCATACCCCGTCCGGTAGGAGCGCCAAGAATACCATCCTTCAATACCTCGTCTGGTATGAGGGTGAAACGGGCCGTCCCCATACCCCGTCTGGTGTGAGCGTCAAAATATTAATTCTCGATATCTCGTCCGATATGAGGCGACGTTCACGGTAGGGTTCTCTATGTACCTGATCCATCTACTATCTCCCACAATATCCAGTAAGACAACTGTTCTATTCATTCATTTAACCAAGTAATTTTTTGTTTACATTTAATTTTTAATTTTACAATTTAACTGTAAATTACGCAAGACAAGCAATATATGTATCAAAAAAACACAACTGAATCATTTTACCAATTTTAGTGTATTATCATGCATTTAAAACTATAAGATCAAACAATCAGTTAAAACAGAACAAACATAAATAAATAACCAGTTCCAGCTTTATTAGTAACCTGTAATTAATTATGAAAATTTTTTAAATTACGCAAAATATTGTATTATTTATAATTAGACTTCAATTCAATAACAGATAATAAAGTGATGGATTCTTACCCGAATCGGTATCCAAAATATTGAATTTTCTAGTGCACCTACTGACGGTCTCCAGGTTTCATAAATTTTCTTCCGGAGGTAAAAACAAGCTTCGCGTGTAACGACCCTAGAAATTCAAAAGAAAATATATAATAATTTAAGTGCGGAAGCGAAAAAAAAAGGTTAAGATTTACATCCCTTACACAATAACTTAAAAGTACTAAACAAACATCACGGAAAGAATCCTCTGAAAGAAACACGAGAAATGAAAAAAGTAAAGAAAAATATAAAGTATCTAGCATCTACTCGCAATCTTCTTGTGGATCGGCCTCGGGAACCAGGTCCTCTTGATCTGAAATGGTTAAATAAGGGGTGAGCTACACTAATCCAGTAAGGACATCACACTATATCACCGACACAGAAGTAAAGGTTGGTAGAAAATCAAAACAACCAATGGAGCATTAGATTTAAACTAATACATTTATTTAAAATAAAACAATTTATCCTTTACCATTGGGGAATTTATGAAAACAAATTATAGAAGCAATAATATCATACAGATCATAACTTCATGCACGACCAACAACATAGAATATATCATAAATTCACATTTATTAACAATAAATGAAATCATAACTGTTTCTCGTTTCACCAGCCTACTAGTATCCATGGAGATCCATAGGGGTGTCCTCGCTACACGTGAACCCTTTCCCTTAATAGTCTTAATTACATAGTCGACCTCATACCCCGTCCGGTATGAGTGTTAAGACATTAAACCCCAATACCCCGTCCGATATGAAGGTGAAATGGGTCGTCCCCATACCTCGTCCGGTATGAGCGCCAAAGTACCAAGTCTCCATACCCCATCCGGTATGAGACAACGTTCACAGTAGGGTTTCCTATGAACCCGGTCCGTCCACTATCTCCCATGATATCTAGTGAGGTTGTCATCTTATCAGTTTATTATATCACACCCCTTTTCTATTTTCCCTTAGTCTCCATTACCACATCAAATATTATCACATAAACAAATAAACATGCATTAAGTAATGCAATCATGTCTCAAATCTAAAAATCCAACAATGGTCAAGTAAGACAGTAATATATGCATTCAAACCTTAAAATAGATAAAACAAATACTATCATACTTTTAGACTGTAAAATAAATCAATAAAAATCAACAGAGAATAATGTCTGATTCGACCTCCATTAGCAACTTGTAATTAATTATACACATCTATTTAATTTGTACAAAAGACCGTATTATTATTTATTCAAACTTCAAATCTATGATAGGAAATAGGGTGAGGGGTCCTTACTTGATTTGACGCCGAAAAGTTAAATGGTTTACTGCGCCTATGAGCGGTCCTTGGGTTCCATGAATTTTTCTTTAGAAACTGAAACGCA